ACGGCACGTCTGTCACAATCAAAAAAGCAACATTGGTTCAATATTAATCATTAAATCCCAGACTTCATTCAACCTTCTTTCATCTTGTTTCCCACTAATATGTACTCTTTCTGTTCTTGCCAGCCACATTGCATTTAGGATTCAATTATTCATAAAGTTCCTTTCCAGCTCTCAAAACAGAACAATAATAAATCTTTATGCTAAGGGGCGCTGGATATGCAAATTAACAAGTTAATTCTATGCCCCCTGACTTTGGGCAAACCCCTTACCCTTTCTGCAGGGGATGATCACAGTATAGCTTGAAGTGAGGGTGTTGGGGGGCTGTGATGGAATAATTCCCCAATTCATGTGAAACATTTAGCTCTTATGACACCATGAGCACTTCCTGGATAAAATCCACCTGACAGATATCATAGATTGAAACCAGTAATGACCCAGAATATCATACACTCCCCACCAAAATAAAACCCTCCCCTCTCCATAGAAGTTCCCCAAAGAGGATGTAGTCTTGCTTGTCTAGCGCTTCAGAACAAGTGTGGAAAGAACAAGATGGGAAAGCATGAGCTCTTGAGTCCTGCGAGCCGCTTTCAGCTCTGTGACTCGAGGTCAACTCTGTGGTCTCTGAATCTAAGCATCCACATCTGTAAAATGGGCACAAGCCAACCCCCTTTCAAGGGCAGCTGAGAAGACCCGTAAAACAGCTGGCAGAGTTGAAGTGAACTAGCTACATCTTCCACTATTCCTAGCTCTTCTGGGAACCACAAAGTCAGCTACTGCAATTGAGATCTTTTTAAAAAATCAACAGAAATCTGGCATGGGCAAGTCTCAGGTGTTGGATCTTGCTCTTTCTTTCACAGCCAAAGCTGTGTTGCAAAGCTAGTTCCATCATTTTTGTTGTTGCAATCCTTTCCCTTATCTAAAATGAAATTAGGAAAGGAATCCAATTATATTGCCTATGTCTAGTTTCTTTTCTTTTGTTTTGTTTTTAACTTTTTTATTTTCTTTTATTCAGAGAGAGAGAGAAAGGTTGATCTCCCCAACATTGGCTCACCCCCCCAAATGGTCACAAGGACCAAGGCTGGGCTAGACTAAAGACAGGACCATGGATGTTAATCAGGCTCCCGCATGGACAGTAAAGGCCTAACTACTTAAGCCATCATGTCCCACCTCCCAAGATGCACGTTAACAGGCAGGTGGCACCAAGAGTAGAGCCAGAACTCCAACCTGGGCACTCCAGTGGGCATGCAGGCATCCCATGCCTCATCTTAACTGACACTTAAACTTCTATTCCTATGTCTAATATTAAAAGGTAGCACAGAACCACTGAGGCAAAGATCATGTTCACACAACCCTATTTCCACGGAGTGGCAGCTGAAGGGATCAGAACAACCAAACTATGGTGTCCTCTATTTAAAGAGGAGCACATAAGAATTCGAGAGATAGAAGGCTTGTTAAAATGAAATCAGACCCTAAAGAGATAAGGACCTAGAAGACCTGGGTCCTAAGCTTTCCACCTCTGTGCTATAGACTATTTGAGAACCTCAACCCATGGATGTACTTGTCTCTGCATGCCCATCCACTCACCCATCCATGCTTGCACTTGACACTTGCCCTGTGATAGGCACTAAATTGGGTATCTGGCTTATGGTGGATGCATAGTTTAAGTGAATGTTGAACAGATAATGAGTTGTTCATCTTCAGTAATGCTTTCACCCTATGTACCCGGTCATCTTGAAGATGTTAAAGGAGACAAAGAATCAGGACAAGAGGACTTCACAAAATTTGTGGATGGGGGAATTAAAAGATAACTTATCTTGATGCAATGAATATTTTTGAAATCCATGCATAGTTTCTTCATAAAGCACTCCCTGTTGAACCTTTTGAGAACTTGTCAAGACATCCCTTTGCTCATAATTCTTAGCAAGAAACACTGCCTGCTGTCGGACAGAAACAACACCGGGCATGAGAATGCAGAGGACCATATCTCAGCTCTAAGCAGCCGGTCTTGGGTGGTAACTGAAAGGCACCTGAAGAGACTAGTTCTGTGGCATGGTAGATAAAGCTGCCACCTGCAGTGCCAACATCTCATATACCGGTTCAAGTCCTGACTGCTCCACTTCTAATCCAGCTCCCTGATAACTGCCCCCAGGAAAGCAGCAGAAGGTGGTCCTATGCTTGGACCCCTGCCTCCACATGAAGGATCCAGGAGAAGCTCTTGGCTGGATTTTATCTGGTCCAACCTGGACACTAGGGCTTTGTCAGGAGTGAAGTAGTGCTTGGATGATATTTCTCTCTCTCTAACTCTGCCTTCAAATAGATAATGTATCTTAAAAAAAAAAAAAAGAAAGACACTTGAACTTCAGTTTTCTGACCTCTATAAGGAGGAAAATATTTAACTTGCCTATTTCACCCAACCACTGTGGTTATAAAAGGAGACACAACAGAAAAACTTCTAGAAAGCATGAGTAAAACGTTATTAAGATGCCTGTTTCACGGCCACCCAAATAAACAACATGTGCTGCTTTTTTAAAGACAAAAATTCTCTGAATGATTTACTCAAATGACACGTGTGTTGAGGACACAGGAAAATCTGAGTGACCGGCTTTTCTGCACGTTCATGTCTACCTTCTATCATCTAACTGGCTGCAATTGCCCCAGATTTATTCCACTTCAGCAGAGATTAAATTTATGGATCTGTGGCATCACACATCATCCCAGCCAATCCTGACCCATATCTCTCTCCATTTGCTGCATGTAACAACAGTACCAACTGGTGTTGTAACCTTAATTGCTTGCAAAGTGTTTTGAAATCCTTAGATTAAAAACTCGGCAAAGTCCAAAGTGTTAGCATTCTGTGTGCCAAAGCGATACACACGGAGTCTCCTTCGGGTTCACTGAGCACTCAAGCCTTCTGGAAACTGCTCTGGGAATGTTGGGGCTTAAGGTCCCATTTTTGGAATACCCCGCCCCCAGCCCCTGTCCTAGTTTCTAAGCTTCCCAAGGCATTTGGTGATTTCCCACGTTGCTTCCAACAGGTTTTTCCCATTTCCGTTCAGAAGTTGCTTGTTCTCAAGGTCTGAGGAACTTGCTCTAACTCTGCTGTCATGACTGTGCTTCCCTGGGCAACACACCCTGATCCTACAAAAGCTTAGTTGTGGGGCAGTGGCATAGCAAGCTCATTCTCTGGCTACAGTGCTGGCATCCGACCCAGCTGCTGCACTTCTTGTCCAGCTCCCTGCTGATGGCCTAGGAAAGCAGTGGAACATGAACCAAGGCTTTGGGCCACTTCACCATGAGGAACACCCAAAAGAAGTTCCTGGCTCCCAGCTTCGGATCAGCTCAGCTCTACTGTTGCAACCATTTGGGGAGTCAATCAGATGATGGAAGTCTCTCTCTCTCTCTCTTTCAAGTAAAATAAATACATCTTTTATAAAAGGCAGTTATGTCAACTTGTGAGTTGAGTGCATCTCTTTAACCTAGAGTTAGAACTTATTCTGCACTCAAAATTTTCTAGTTTTAGAGTTAAATGCCTGGCCCAGCGCAATAGCCTAGCAGCTAAAGTCCTCACCTTGCATGCACCAGGATCTCATATGGGGACTCTTTCTAATCCTGGAGGCCCCACTTCCCATCCAGTTCCCTGCTGTTGGCCTGGGAAAGCGGTTGAGGACAGCTTTGGGACCCTGCACCCACGTGGGAAACCCAAAGAAGTCCCTGACTCTTGGCTTTGAATTGGCTCAGCTCCGGCCGTTGTAGCCACTTGGGGAGTGAACCATCAGATGGAAGATCTTTCTGTCTCTCTTCCTCTGTGTATATCTGACTTTCCAATAAAAATAAATCTTGAAAAAAGGAAGTTAAACGCCACAGTGATTAGGCTGGGAGCAGGTTCGGTAAGGGACTCTTGAGGCATTATCTCTTGGTTTCTGGATCCACTGATCATACCACCAGACCATTCGGTTCGTCAAACTTCACCCATTTTTCTGTGTAGTCATCATACTTTCTAGCGTAAAATACTTTCAAAAATTGGTCTAATCACCTTCTTGGTCTTTTGGCTAAAATCAAGTGTCAAAACTAGTGTAGCTGCAAATATGTTCAGTAACAGAGCCTGAAGTGATAACAGAGCTATAAACCCAAGACAAAACCAAAAATCCTTTCTCTACCTATGGAATTCAAATGAATGCTGCCTTGGTTTATTTCTTTGCTTCCATTTTCGTGTGTATACTGAGAGGAGGGGAAAAAGAAATGCCTCAATAGCCACTTTCACTTGGTCCAATGCGGGGGAGGTCCCAGGATGCCTTGAGAGACCCATGGGATTCCTTGGATAACAAAACCCTGTTGCATATGCAAGACACTGTTCATTCCAAGAAGTTTGTGGCTTTTGTGACCTCCTCAGGAGCATGTGACCCAGAAAACAAAAAAAAAAAAGACTAGATTCTCAGGGTGCTATGCAACTCAAGGCTTCTCAACTCTAAATTCAACCCACAGAGCCCCCTCACCTGGTTCTACCCACTGGGCTCCATCTAACAAAGGGAATTTTCTGGGCCCTGCATGATGGCTCAGTGGCTGAATCCTTATCTTGCATGTGCTGGGATCCGTTATGGGTGCAGTTCATGTCCCAGCTGTTCCATTTCCCATCCAGCTCCCTAATTGTGAACTGGAAAAGCAGCAGAGGATGGCTCTGCACCCGGATGGGAGACCTGGAAGAAACTCCCGGCTTCAGATAGGTTCAGCTCTGGCTGTTGGGGAGTAAACCAGTGGGCAAAAGATCTTCCTTTCTGTCTCTCCTTCTCTCTGTAAATCTACCTTTTCAATAAAAATAAATAAATCTTAGAACAAAACAAAAAGCAAATTTGCTCACTATTAAATGGGGGCAAAAAAAAAAGGCAAGTAAGTTCCTATCACCTATCTCACTCCCCACTTGCCCTTTGAGATTCGCAGGCACGAGTTCAGAGACCTGCACTCCCCGGCTCAAACTGCAAATGACATGAAAACAAAATCACATGTATTTACGAAACCAGATTTATTAAAATTTCTCTACAAGTCAGAAATGGCCGTCTCAATGTTCACATATCTACACATGTACAGGAAGGTTCTAGTGTTTCTAGCTTCTGCAGAAGCCCCCGCCTCCCAAGTCCTCGGCCAGACGATGCATCACAGATACAAAGTCCAGCCACCGCGAGGGCGCTGGTGGGGCAGGCGCCTGCCCTCCTTTCTCTCCCAGTCCCACAGTTCCGTGGAGGCAATATTGCCAACAGTCATTCACATTTCACGTGGCTTTAGACACGCGGGTTATTCAGACAGACACAGACGACACACAACAAGCCTCAGAGCCAACACAACAAAAACAATGTCGAACATACGTAGAAAAGGTCCACTATCTATACAAAGTACACAGTACGTGAGGTATACGCGGCATTCCCACAATGCGGGTTAGTAGTTTGCCTCGGCGTAGCCCTTTAAAGCTGGCTGCCTGTTTTATTGGTATTTTTTTTTTCCTTTTCTCTTTTTTGTGCCATTTTTCAAAATACAGTATATTTGGCTTACCCGTTTAACCACCAGGTCTTAGCACTGTCTGGGATGGCCGCTGATGGCGCATCTGTCCTTGTTTAATGCAGGCTGCAGGTTCTCTGCCAAGGTCTACCTTTTGGAAGGAGCAAGTCCCCCAGCGCTGGATGCAGCCAGAGGCTGGGCAAGGCCCCTGGGAAGGAGCTGAAGGGGGTGGGGGAGGCACGAATATTCCTGTGCTGGGAGATGGCAGAAAGAGGTCAGGGTGGAGGATTTTTGAGAAGTGAGGCTTGCTCTCTCAGCCCAGCAGCTGACTGGCCAGAACACAACACTCGGGAAATGGGAACGCACCGTCATGCCAAACTGTGGGGACACAAATGCTGCCAGAGGCAGACCAGGTCACGAGGGCTCAAAGGAGAATTCTAGAAGCTGATCTGCAAATCTTCTAAGACCATCCACCATTCAGTCTCTCTGAAGCTCAGAGATGTCTCAAGTTTACTCCAGGGAGAGGACGAACGGGCTCTCCTAATCTTCTTGCTACACCAGACACTGCGCCTTCAGACGGGCTTGGGGAAAAGGAGACACACTGGGAAGCTAACGGTCCCCAAATCCTCCAATGATCTGGGAGACTATGCAGCCTCTCCTTCTGAGCCCAGATCTTTCAGGATGCTTTTTCAAGACCAGCTGGCAAGTGCGTTTTGTTGCTGAAAGGGGCAGGTTTCAAGGGCATGGAGAGGGCGTTAATGCACACGAGGTGTTGGCAGGAAACAGAAGAGTCTGGGTTCACGGTGCAGGCAACTCCTAGACTCCTACAACAGTGTGTTCCGGAAGCGAAGCAGAGTCATTGCTAAGTGTGAGTGAGTGCGAGAAAGGACCAGGGTTAAGCCAAAGGACATTTTGAGTTGAGAAGCTGCAGTAGCCACTCTGGCTACACCACTGGTGAATTTCAAGGTGGCAGACTTATGGGCCTCAATTTATTCACTACCCTAATAAAATACGGTAACTGCCCCCCAAAACGCCATTGTGCAGTCCATGCCATCTTCCACTCGAACATTCGAGTTCATGACACTTGACCATATGGTAGAGGATGTCCCAGCTCTTGAGCTCCTCCCCAGAAAAGTAGAACCCCCCGATTCTCCCAGAGGCTTGCTGGCGAAGGTTCACCCACGAAGGGGACAGTTCGCAGGGCAGCCAATCCAGGTGACTGCCGCTCGGTCCTACGGTCCGTCATCTCAAAGCTGGGCAGGGCGCCGTGGTGGCATCTGCCGGGACCGCCTCTGTGCAGGCCCCCACCCTGGCACCGAGCTCGGGGGCCTGTCCGACTGTAGAAATGGAAATGCCGTGTGTGAGAATTTCGAGGTTTCTGAGGTTTTTTTTTTTTGGGGGGGGGGGAATTAGCAAAAAAAGGGACTAATGTCACTGTCTTCCTGGTACTCGGGGACAATCTGGTCCGCCGTTCCCACTTCGGAGTCGACAAAGCCAGGTTCCAAGGCCGACTCAAACCAGGGATGGAGCAAGATCTCGGGGGCCGTGAGTCTCTCGGAGGGCTCTCGCCTCAGCAGGCTGCGGATGAGGCACCTGGCTTTGGGGGAAATGTGGTCGGGAATGCAGAACTGTCCGCGGCGGATTTTGGAAAAGAGGGCACTGGGGTCTGAGTCATGGAAGGGGTAGCGTCCAACTAACAGGGTGTAGAGCATCACCCCGAGGCCCCAAACGTCCGCCGCCTTTCCGGAGTAGGTGCCCGTGGTGTTAAGGATCTCGGGGCTCACGTAGGCTGGGCAGCCATGCTTGTCCGACAAGGCGTCATCCTCGCCCTTGATGATGTGTGTGTCTTCGAGACTTTCCAACCTGAGCTGGGTCCTGCAGGAGAGAGGGAACCACATCATGACTTTCAAGAGGGAAAAAAAAACAAAACAGGTTTCCCCAAGTCAAAGAGCCCAATGGGGCACCAAGAGCAAAGGGCCCCACGAAGGCCATTCAGTCCTTCATCCTGCAAGCAGAGCCCTGAACCACACGGGCCTTGTGATTTCACAAGGCACTACGAACTGCAATAAGTTGTTTGCAAGGTATCCAGAGAGCGCCCGGGGTGGAGGGTATGATGCAAAGTCCCACACAGGGTTCCTGATGCTACAGTTTATAAAGCACATCCTAATGGGGGTTACGCAACTGACAAAGTTCACATTGCAGAACCGGGAGCCTCTCTTGGGGGAACGCTGACATTCTCTACTGCCAGGGAGGATCAGGGTATCCAACAGGGTCGAGACGTCCTCCCCGTCACTCTGCTCTCCCAATCACGCCACTGACTGCCGGGGCCTCCACTCTCGGCTTAACAGAGCACAGGATGTCAGTGCGGCTGCCCACACCAATATAGATTCACAGAGGGGACGCTATCTACCTGGGCCCCGGGGCTGTGATGACCATGATGGGACAATCACAAGGAATGCTCATTATGATTGCAAAGAACACTCAGACCTGACCGCCTAACAAAGTGGGTGAGTAGTCTGCAGGATGCAGGGCCCCTAAGATCCTTAGCTACACCCACCCACCCACACACACACACACACAAACACATCCTTCCTGGGGTGGCATATTTATAACACACGGAGGTCTCAGCCCAGGGAACAGATACAGTTTGAAAACCTCCAAGGCTCTCTCGGAAGCTGCAGGTGTTCAGAACAGGCCACCCACCCAAGTCTCCCAGATCCCCCACAGCCCCAGGCCAGGTGGGGACCGCCACTTTCCCTGGCAGTATGCTGTTCCTCACTTCTCCGGGACACCCTGACCTCAATAAGTCCCTTGTTGTTCTGAACTCACATGCAAACACACGGTCCCTGACGGATCAATTCCTTTTTCCTCTGAAAGGTCTGCTGAGTTTTTTCTTTTCTTCCCCCCTTCCTGCCTTCCTGTTCCCTGGAGTGTAGTATACATGTGCTAACTTCGGTATGTCCTCAGCATGACCTCCCAAGCGTTATGTAAAATACCCATTGGTTCTGTAAACGGAAAATATGACTCAACTCACACTGTCTGCCGCTGATTGGCGGCTGTAGTACTAAAACCCTGCACCTGTGCCGGTTACACGAATAGCGTCAGCCTGCCATTGCTTAACCCTCGGGTTGCCAAACCCCGTGCCCGTGACATCTGCCTGTGCAACAGAGATTTCAAAAGCCACTGAGGAGGTGTGTAAGCTATGTTTCAGAAAAATGCCTCGCCGTATCACAGCAGTAATATTCCAGGAATTGGAAACTTTTTCACCCGCCAACAGTCCACTTTTCTTTGCTAATCACTAAATACCAAGAATGATTGCAAGGTCAGATATGGGTGGTACAGCAGTTCAGCCCTGTACCGTTCCATGGGCTCTGGAACGTTCCATGGGCTCTGGAGCGTTCCATGGGCTCTGGAGCGTTCCATGGGCTCTGGAGCGGAAGACGGCACATGGAGTGAAAGGCTACAGGAAAGGCTACAGGAGGAAGAGATGCAACAAAATAACTCGCTGCCACCCTTACACTTCTGTCACTCCTCTTCATCTTGTCACCACGGATGTGGCTGCCTCTTCAGAGCAGGCATGGGGCAGCTTCCACCCCCCCCCCCGCGGCTTCCTGAGTTCTGATGCCTGAAACCTCCACTCTGAATCTAAATGCCTCATCACGTTCTTATCAAGCTCATCTCGTCCCTCCTGAGGTAAGCCAGGAGCTATATTTAGCAATCGGCTCCAGCCAACTTCCATTTATTATTCAATGTGCCTATTTTCTGAAGGTGAATCCAAAGAAGACTAGAAATTGGCCGGAACACACACTCGGGAAGTACCAGGAGCCCAGCCCGAGGTGGAAAAGGAATGCAAAAGAAAGATGTACGCAGAGTGAAGATGCTCTGGCACCTCCCAGGTACAAAAGCTAAAGCATCACTTGGCATGAGCAAAGAGATGCCAAACCCTCCTGGAAGTTCAGGACTGTGAAGGGCAGGGTGAGGCTTGTCCCCCAGGAGCCTGACCTGACATACAACAAGCCTGATGCTGGGGTACAGCATCCTGCCTGTGGGCGGCGTCCATGCCCCGCCCAAGAGGACACAGAACATGCCAACCTTGGACACCACTCTTCTGGGACAGGACTTGTAAAAACTATCCTTCGCTTGGGCTGTGCCCCCCGCACTGTGCCCAGCTGCACCATCTGTCCCTCAGCTTCAGTCCCAAAAGCCACAGGAGGAGCTGTGCTGGCTGCTCACCTCTCCTCCGTGGAGAAGACGAACTTCCTTAGCTTCAAGTCCCCCAGCACGATAGCCGACTGGTGGCAGTGGGCGACGGCGGAGACGATCTGCTTGAACAGCCTGGCGGCCTCCCCTTCGCGCAGCCTCTTCCGGCTCCGCACATAGGAGTGCATGTCCCCAAAGTCCTTCTCAAAGAACACATAGGCCTTGCTTTCCCCAAGGATCACTTCCACGATGCCCGTGATGTTCCTGTGTGATGGCAGCTGGATGTAAGGCCGGATTTTGTCCTGGTAGTGTTTAATGGGAAACACCTGCAGAGACAAACGGACCAATAAGGCGTGTAGAAAAGCTGGGGGGATGGGAATGGGAAGGGAGTGGCTCCCCAAGCCCTCAGGGAGGTAGGACTAAAATTCCCCCATCTCTGGGTTTCAGCTAACAGCAAGCTCCATTCATTGATTCCCTATTTCTCAGGCAGCCTCAGTCACGTCTACTCCCTTTGGAACCAGTGAGGTTTAGGGCTCCGGACTAGCAAGTGGTTTGCAAAAACTGTCAGGGCTATGCACCATGGCATAGCAAACTAATCCTCCACCTGTGGCACCAGCATCCCATATGGGCACCGGTTCAATTCCTGGCTGCTCCACTTCCAATCCCACTTTCTGCTCATGGTCTGGGAAAGCAGTGGAAGATGGCCCAAGTGGCTTGGGCCCCTACGCCAACTTGGGAGACCAAGAAGAAGCTCCTGGCTCCCAGCTTCAGATTGGCTCAGCTCCAACCATTTCACCCCTTGGATGGAAATCTGTAAATCTGTAGATCTGCCTTTCAAATAAAAATGAATACATTGTTTAAAAAGAACAAACTGTCTTCCATTTAGGGGCTTCCCTGGGATCCCAAGTGCTTAACTCCAAAGCTGCCACGCTGTGTGGCTCTCCTGGGCTTGCAGGCCAGGGTAGAAGGAGCTGACAGAGGGTCCCCCAGGGATGTGCAGGAAGCGCAGGTGTGTCTTGCACACTCAAAGGGCTCAGCCCAGAGCAGGCACAGAACCATGAGCCCGCAGCCTGCAGCAGCGAGGAGCAGTGAGCCCGGACCTTGCAGAGTTCTTATTACTCAGAAGGAACAAATGACTAGGAGGAACGGTCTGTGACAAGGCAGCATTAAGCCACCTGCCTGGTCTGACTCAAGTGTACGCTGCCTGAGTTCCAGTTCTCCGCAGGTGGAGTATGGGATCTTCCCAACAACGTTCTTTTTTTTTTTTCTTTCATGTTTGTTTCCCGTCCCCTCCCACCCACCTCCACCACCCCCCACCAGGAACCCGGTAGCATCTCCTGTAAGACGCTAGCTGGTCTCTTTAAGCGCCCTTTGTTTGGTCGGGTTACTCATATCCTAGACTCAACTGGAAACGGTGACACACGGGCTGTCACCATCTGGATTCAGCTATTATCTGCTCGGAGGAACTGGAAGGGATTGCACAACGGCCAGATCCACCCCACCTCTCAGGCCTCGCTGCCTCCTGCTGCTGCCCCCTCTGCTACCTACCCCACCCCACGGCACACACACACACACACTGCCCCCCATCCCAACAGCTCGCAGCCCCAGTCACTTCAAGATTTCTCCTGGCTTTAAACGGGGCTTGACGGAGCATGACGCCAGTAGGTGGCAGCACCGAGCCCCGAAGGGAGGGCCGGGGCGCGCGCCGAGCGGCGGCCGGGCGTACTGGGTTAGGGGGCGTCAGGGGAGTTACGGAAAATTGAGCAAGTTGAGCTTCAGGGCGACTTTATGTTTTTAAGTGAAAGGGAGCAGCCCCGGGCGGACCCGAGATCGCGGTGTGAGCCTCTCAAGGAGGTGACGGAGGGGACGCCCGCGGCCGTGCAGGCGCCAGGGGGGACGCGCGGTGGATCCTGTTTGTAGCAGTCCGGTGTCCTCTTTCTCCTCCCCCTCCATGGGGTCCCTAAGGTTCCGAGGCAAATCTCTCATCGCAAAGTAAAGTGCATGAAAGAGACGGTTCCTGGCGGGCGGCGGCTTCCCGATATTTCTACTCCGGGCAAACTCCCCCGGCCCGGACTGGAAGACCCCCACCCCCGACCCCACCTCGTCCCGCTCAGCCCGGCCCTGGAGAGGGCGGTGTTCCGCGTCCCAGCGCGGGCGCCAGCTGGAATCCCCGCGGCAGGAGCGGGACTCGGTCTCCGCGGTGCCCAGCTGAACCCGGCCTCCGTGGAACCCCGGCGAGGGCTGCCAGCTGCTCCCGGCACCCACTGCAGGGCGTCCTTCCAGGGCCCGGGCGGGCGGGCGGGGCGGCGCGGAGAATGAGAGAAGGCGAATGGCATGGCCCTGGAATCCATTTCAATTCCACAACTTATATGGGGACGCCACGCGCCACCCTGAGAGCGGAGGATAAAGAGATCGAATCCTGCACTTCCGCAGGACGGCGACCCCTCCTACACACACACACACACACACACACACACACACACACACACACAAGTCTCCCCAAAGAGGTGAGCTGGGGCAATCGCCGCCCGGTAGGGCTCACCCGCACCTACCCGCCGTGTCCCAAAGCCCAGGCTCTGGCCGGACTTCAGCCTCCGCGCCCCCGACCCCTGCCCGCTCGTGCCCAGGGGCGCCTACCTTGCAGCGCAGCTCGCGGCCCGTGTGGATGCACAGCGCCCGGGACACATGCTCGCGCTCGGCCAGGGGCAGCAGCAGGTAGTCCGCGATGCGGCTGGGCCCCGGCGCGCTCCCGGAGCCGCCGCCGACCCCCGGCGCGGCGGGCAGGAGCTGCGGGCTGCACGGCGAGCCGGGGGGGCTGAGGTAGTCCGGAGGGCTCGTGCACTCGGAGAGTCGCGGGCACTTGGCTGCGGCCACTGCCGCGGCCGTCGCCGCGTCGTCCGCATCCAGCAGCCGTTTGGCCGGGGTGCCCCGGGAGACCGGGAGCAGCAGGGCTGGGCCCCGGGGTTGCGAGGCGCCGCTCATGGCAGAGCGCACGGGACCGGCTCGCATCCCGTCCCCGGCCGGGGCGGCCCCGGCTTTGTACGCTCCCGGATCCGCGCAGAAAGGCGCTTTTGCGGGCTTGGCGCGGGCGCCGCGACCTCTTCCAGCCCGCGGGATGGAGTCTGCAGACTGGCCTTAGCTCGGCCCCCACGGGGGCCAAAGCACCAGGCGCTCCCCCGGCGCTCTCGCTGCACGCGGAAACCACGCTGGCTCAGCGTCCCGGAGAGGTGCGGAGGCCGGCTCAGTTCCTCGGACCCCGGCGGGCGCAGGCACGGGGCCCCTCGCAGGGGGCGGCCGCCGCTATTGTTGGCGAGGCTGTCGAGCGTCCCAGAGGCGGCAGCGGCGGCCTAGGATCCCGGGGTCCCGTGGCACGAGAACAGGATTCCGCGAGCTTGTGCGCGGAGCCAATGCACTTCCCAGAGCAATTAGTCTCCAGCGGAAGCCGGAGCAACTTTTCCGCGGCGCCCGGGGTCCTGCGCGCTCCTGGACTGCGGGCGCGTGTGAGCGAGTGCGACGCGCTCGGAGAGAGTGACTGAGTGTGAGTGAGTGTGTGCGCTGCACCGATCCCGGCCAGTGCACTCCTCCTTCTCCTTTTCCTCCACCTCCTCCGCCTCCCGGTGACTCACGCTGTATACACACACACACTCACAGGCCAGCCTGTGTAAACAGTTGGGGAGCCGGGTTGTGCAATGAGGTGGCCGCGACGACTCCGGCTCCGCCACCCGGCGAGCAGTCACCGGAGCGGAGGGAGGAGACTGGAGGCAGGGGGTGGGGGGGAGGTGGGGCAGGAGGCTGGGGGCGGGGGTGGCCCGCGGGCCTGGGATGCTCTCGCGCGCAGGTGGTGCGTCCCGGGCCGCCTGGGGCGCGCTCTGCCCGCGACCCGGACCGGGCTGGGCTGCGCGGGAGGCGGCGCGCGCCCTCCGGCAGGCCCCCGGCGCCGCGCGAGCAGCCCGAGGAGGGGGCGGAGGACAAGTGCCCGTGACGTCTGGGTCCCCGGGAAGTGGGAGAGAGGGCGGGGCGGGGGGCAAGGCGGCCGCTGATTGGTGCGCGCGCCTCATTCACAGCGAGCACAATGGGCTGCGGGCGCGCGCACCACGCTTCCCTGCACCCGCCGCACGCTGCGGCCCCGCGGTTACACCTTTTGCCCGGGGGATCCCCTGCCGCCCCGCACCTGGGGAGCTCCGTTTGGAGTCGTGGGCGGCCTGGCTGCAGCCAGAGACTAGGGGAGGAATGTGCTAGGGGAGGTGATCATTGCCAAACACAGTCATTCACCCCCGCGCGGCAGTTCCGGGGAAGACCTGTGAGTGATAGTGGATATGGCTTTTTTTTTTTAACCCCCCCCCTTTTCCTGCCCCCTCCCAACTCTAATCCCCAGCGTCTGTTCGCTTCCACAAATAGAACCTTCTGTTGGATGAAATAAAAGCAAACACTGGGCCTTCTGCGCCGCCTCCACCTCCTCGCCCCTCCCGCGCCCGCCGCCCGCCCGGATTGCACGGAAATAGCTTCTCCAGGCTCCCGGGCCGCCCCTTCGCGGTGACTCGCAGAAAAAGCTTCCTGAGCCAGGGCCGGTGGGAAACAAAGGATGTGGGAGCGGGCGGAAGGGGCCCACGTGGTCGCCGCCGGATTCCTGTCCCTCCCCTGCCTCCGCACGCGCCGCGGGGTCTGAGGCCCCGGTGCCAGCCTGGGTGTCGGGGTAGGTGATAGAGGGGGTGGGAGGCGTTCTGGCCAGCGGCGGGGGCGGGGGACGGGAGGCGGAGGCCGGAAATGTGGCTGCAGGCGGGCGAGCCTGCCAGGCCGTGGTCCTGCATTTGTGCGAGGGACCTTGGCTGTGTGGAGTGTGCACCAGACCATGCGCCAAGCCCCAGGAAAACAACTGGGGAATCTGGAACCAGATCGGTTTGGAGCCTCTGGACGCCCAAACACAGATAACCATTATTGGAGTCCTTCCTTGCCCTTCTGTTAAATCATTAACTTTCTAAAACCAGATCGAGCCCCAGGGAATAAGTAAATCCTTTTCCTTGTTAATACTCCGTGCAATCAATAACCACTAAGCATCTGGTAGGTGCTAGACGCTGGGGATTACTAGATGAAAATTAAAGCAGTGATCATGGCTAGTGTGGGTGAGGCTTCCGCTGTGCCAGTCACTGGAGTCATGTGACGCTGCACTTCGTTTCGCCACCTCCACCTGCTCCGTGGTCCACCTCACCCAGAAACACGCTGAAGCCTAAAAGATGAAGTTCACTTGCAATGATGAAAGACCTCACAACTGTGCAGCAACCAAGTGTACCGGAGAGCTCAGGCGCTTAGGGGACCCAGTGGAAAGGGAGGGATTAGTGAGGACTCTAGAAGAATCCATTCGACCAAGAGTCATGGAGCTATGAGAGTTGGGTCTGGACAGCAGGTGGCCAGGCCAGGCAGGCATACAGAAAAGAGCAAGCTTGGCTTAAGCAAGGGCTGCGGGGAGTTGCATGAGCCCACAGCCATGATCTGAGAGGATGCCCGCTGGGCTCCCATGCCAGGCTGAGGAAGTCACTCTTGCTCCAGGAATCAGAAGAGAGCCCACCAAGGGCTTTTGGCCTTTGGGATGACTTGGTGCCAGCTAGGCATCTGTCCTAGGATGGCAAATTTGGTGTGGTCCATAAGCATGTTCCTCCGAGGTGTAGGCCCCATGTCTGCCTCAGCACAGTTCCCACAAATCCCCCAGTGCCAGCAGTCCCCCCACACTCACACACACCAGACCTTTTCTAACGGCCAGCCACTGGGTCCACTGGCCGATTCTGTTCTCAGAGCCATCCCCCTGCCCGCCTTCTCTGTGCAGTCCCTGGGGTTGGTCCTCCCAGCTCTGTTTCCCATGCCCTCTTGCCCACTGGCTTCCAGCCCAGTTTGCCCAGTGGAGGGAGCTTGGCAGGTGGGAGGGGGAGCATAGCCAGGCTGCTTCCCTTCATACTTTGCATGGGGCAGCTGGGTACACTCCCCTCCCGGGTGGACCCCATGCCTCTGTGTGGGGCGCAGTCACTCATTCACGCAGGAGCACTCTTGAAGTTGCCTTCGTCCTGTTCCTTCCCTCCCAGGGCATGCCCTAGCACATCTGCCAGCTGCTTTCCTTCTCAGAGTCCTTCCCGCCTGTGGCACCCCCTCCTCATGGTGCCACCTCGCTCCAGTGACAGCAGCTTTCTGAAGCTGTTCATCTCCGGGGTGCCCCAGTACTATATTTGGTTTCTGCTCTCCCAAGATCTTTATGGGTTATTTCCCATGTTGAAATTTCTTCTTGAACTCCCAGCTGGGTTGCATTTTCCTATGCAGCCTCCCTCAACTGCCTCAGTCTTAGCTCAGAACCTTTTCCTGGGATCCCTGCAGTGACCTCCTACCTGAGTCACTCTTACATCCTTTTCAACAGTGACCGTCTGCTCTGCCTGGGCATCTCCCAAGTGCTGGGGATGCAGCGGTGCACACATCAGAATGTGTACTTTACCCCTCAATCCCTGCCCCCGGTAACTTTCCTAAAATTGGAATTTGATCATATCATGCTCTGGCCTAAAGCCCTGCAGGAAATGTCAGAGAATATCCAAACAGCACAATGTGGAGAAGTAAGCCCTCTTCCAGGCCACGTCCCTCCCCTGCATGCCACGCCTTGCTGCCTCCCCGCCTCTGCCCTACACAGGTTTGGCAGGGCCCCAGACACACCTGCCGAATGGCAGTTTTGCCTCCCATTGGAACCGCCCAGCCCCAACCGCTGCTACTCCTACCAATCCAGAGAACTCTTATTCATCCTTCAGAACGCCACCCAGATTTCCCTAGCCCTTGCAGTAGGGATTCAGCAGCATGCTGGGGGCCAGCACAATGGGTCAACTGGCTAATCTTCCACCTCTAAGCACAGGCATCCCATATGGGAGCTGGTTTGTGTCCCAGATGCTTCACTTCCCACCCAACTCCTGGCTTATGGCCTGGGAAAGCAGTAAAGGATGGCCCAAAGCCTTGGGACCCTGCACCTGCATAGAAGCAGCTCCTGGCTCTTGGCTTCAGATGAGGCCAACTACAGCTGTTGTGGCCATTTGGGGAGTGAACCAATGGATGGAAAATCAATCTCTCTCTCTTCTGTCTGTAGATCTGCCTTCCAATAAAAGTAAATTAAATCAATCTTCACTGTCTCTCTGGTGTGTCTCCTCTGTTTATCTGACCACAAAGGGACTCTGGCTACTCTGCTGAGTTCCTGATGGGCAGGAGTCCTGGCTCCAGTCCCCAGCCTGTGTCCGCTGTAGCAGGTTGTAAAGGTTCACCAGCACAGACTTTACCAGAGAAATGCAGAGGGAAGACCAGCACTGAGGCAGGGGCTGGAGGGAAAGAGCGGCCTTCGGGAAGCAGCAGGCTGCCCATGCCAGGAAAGCAGGAGCCACACTGTGGGGTGCACAGGAACCCTGAGCTCACCAGGCCAGGAGTCAAGTGCACTAACGCTGTTGGATCCCAGGGCCAGGACATTCCCTGCCCATGAAATGGGAACTGAACTGGACTTCTGGCCAGCTTTTCAGACTGAAACAGGTGTGACAGAGGCCTGCCCTGGAACCCAGGTCCACAAGCATCCATCTTTCTGGATAAGGTTCAGTTGCTGACAAACTCGGGCTCCATTTGGTCTCATTCACAACCCAGCGAGGATCATGGCTGCAACAGCAAAAGGCTCTAAGAGCCGATCAGTCTGGGGCCCAGCACGGTAGCCTAGTGGCTAAAGTCCTTGCCTTCCATGCTCCAGGATTCCATATTTCTCCCAATCTAATCCCAGCAGCCCCACTTCCCATCCAGCTCCCTGCCTGTGGCCTGGGAAAGCAGTCAAGGATGGCCCAAGGCCTTGGGACCCTGCACCCGCTTGGGAGACCTGGAAGAAACTCCTGGCTCCTGACTTCAGATCAGCTCAGCTCCAGCCATTGCAGCCACTCGAGAAGTGAATCAGCAGATGAAAGATCTTCTTCTCTGTCTCTCCTCCTCTCTGTATGTCTAGCTTTCCAAGATAAATAAATAAATCTTAAAAAAAAAAAAAAAGGAACCAGTCAGTTTCTTATAGAAACAAGCAGGTGCAATGTGTGGAAAGTACTTTTGGATTACCCACCAATACACAAACATGGGCGCTCAGCCAGGTATGGGAGCACCTTGATTTTGCACAACATACGATAACTGTTCATGGTAAGCTTGCCCTATGCCAGGGTTGAACGGTTGTGACCGTGAAAATCTGATCAAAACAAATCAGTGCATAGGATATTAAAAAGGTAAGTCATCTTCCCACATTAGACCAAGGTCTACCAAGTGGCAGCAAGGGCCCTCAGAAGCCAGAAGCCCAGGTGACCTTGTGTGTCCTGTTTGGTGTCACTCAAAGCCGAGCTGACTTGCAGTGCTTGGTTCATGTGCAACTGGGGAAAACACTGTCTCGTGCCAACCTTTCAGGAACTCGTGGTTTGTGTAACACAGGGCAGTGGCTATTGATTTTTCTGGGCAATGTTGAGCTTCTGATGCGCTCCAGCTCAATTCATCCTCATTCATGCCAACGCCAGAGCAGTCAAGGGCCGGAGTGTCCCAGACATGCTACCAGGCTCCGAGGTTGGCATCTCCCTCCCTCACCTTACGCAAGGCCTTAACAACCACGGTGGCTCTGCCTGCCACACACCGTGCAGCCTGCCTCCCAGTTCAAAAATGCAATAGGAAATGTTTCTCCCACATGCGGGGCTTCCTTGTAGTGTTTTACTG